CTTATTGATTTGTTCATTTGTCAATTTTTACTTCAGATATTTTAGGATTCTGTTATTTGGTGCTACACATTTAAGATTATTATGTCGTCTTGATGTATCTGACCCTCTTATCATCAAGCGGTAACCTTGTTCATGTCTTTATACTACTTGCTTTGAAGTTCACATTATCAGATATTAATATGGCCATACCAGTGTTCTTATACTTAGGGTGTGCATTTTATTTTTTTTCCCCACATTTTTACTTTCAACTCCTGTGTCTTTGTATTTAATGTGCTTTTCTTGTAAACATCACAGATGAGCTTTGCTTTTTTATCTTGACAATTTTTTTCTTTAAATGTAGATACTCATTTGCTTTTAGCGTAATTATTGATATGTTTGGGTTTAATCTGCCATCTTGGAATTTGTTTTCTAATTTTCCGCATCTGTTCTTTGTCCTTCTGGTTCTCATTTCCTTTTTTCTTTTGGGTGAATTGAGTAGATTTTTTGTATTCTAGTTTGCCTTGTAGCCAGCTGCCAACTGTTTGGATATGTCAAGGGTTATCCTTACTCTTGAACTCAACCCCTGGCTTTCCTTGTCTTGGAAGAGCTCTTTTGATCCCACTTTGCATTTGGTGATGGGTCAGTGCCCATCAGAGGGATCTTATTCAGCTGTGTCCTGCTCCCAGCCTTCATTGGCCTGCTACTTTGCACTCAGTAAAGGCCTGAGGTACTTCAGGAAGATTTCTTAGCCCTTCTGTTCTGTCCCATCCTTTAATATGTGATGGTTGTCCACTAGGTGCAAGCTCTGTGAGAGAGAACTGGCAGGTGGGTATGGAGTTGTTCTTTGATTAGAGCTCCTCAGAATTCTAAGGTCACATTACAACTATTAAGAGTTAGTAAAATTTCATACTTCCCTTTTATGCAGGTTTATTCTTTCCTCTGTCAGAGATAAAAGCAGTTACCTGCTTTTTTTGAGAAGGGATCATTTGTATGTGGAATTTAGTTCTTCTGGGTTACTTTGCATCTCAATTTTAATGGGTTTTTAAAGAAAATTTATGATTTTTATGGCTTATATAGCTTGTCATTTCAGTCTGTAGTTGTTTTTTAAAGTGTATATAATTATCTGCCAGTGGAAACATTTTTTTGAGCATCTACAATTAATGTTTAATTTTTAGTGACTTATTGTGTGATAATTGCCTAGTGTCTTAATGAATCAATGAATGATGTTACTTTGGGCCACTGGTATTGGCCACACATTACTATCCATAATCTCCTTTATGACCATTAACACGAACTTAATGATGGTAGGCTAGAGCTAGGCTACACTTTATTGATGAAGCACCAGAAGAAAGCATAGTAATTATGCAATCTTGCCTCATAAGCATTTATGCAACCTTCTGAGCTAAAAAGAGAAATAGATGTATTCATAATTAATATGGCTTATCTAGATCACTTTAGAGTTGTGTATAAGGATTTTGCTCATAACCATTAAGATAATTTTGGTTATATTTGTTAAAAATAAAGCTTATTTTCTACATTTCCCTTTAATGTGAAAAAGACTTTATGCGCTTCTTTGTTTAGTTTTCATGTTTTGATTATATCCATTTTGCCTTGTATTATCTTGTAAGATTCTGCAGAACAATTTTGGCAACTGCAGATTTACCTAATGCTGTGCTGTCTAGAGTCTAGGAGTGACTGATACAGAGAGGAGAAGCACACGTTAAATGTTTAACAGATTAAAAAAAATAAACTAGTGCAAATAGATTAATAAACTCCCATGCTTCTAATAACTATTGACATAGGTTAATCAATCTTGTTTTGTTTATCCTGCCCACATTAGGGTTGTCTGGGTGGCTTAGTTGGTTAAGCGTCTCGCTCGACTTCGGCTCAGGTGGTGATCCTAGAGTCGTGGGATTGAGCCCTGCATCAGACTCCATGCTGAGCATGGAACCTACTTGAGATCTCTCCTCCCCTCCCCTCCCCTCCCCTCCTCTCCTTCTTTTCTTATGTTTATTTATTTTCAAGAGAAAGAGAGAGACAGCCATGAGTAAGGGAGTGGTAGAGAGAAAGGGAAACACAGAATCTGAAGCCCCTCGTTGGGCTCTGCGCTGACAGCTCAGGGTCTGGAGCTTGCTTTGGATTCTGTGTCCCCTCCCCTCCCCTCCCCTCCCCTCCCCTCTTCTCTCTGTCTCTGTCTCTGTCTCTCATTCATACACACGCTCTCCCTCTCTAAAAAATAGATATTTATTAAAAACAACAAAAAATAAAAATATCCTGCCCACTTTATAAAAAAATTGATTGGCTGCTAGAATGTTGTTTTTGATTGCTAAAATGTTTTGAAGCTAATCCCAGATGTTATGTCATGTTTTACCTGTATGTTGCTCTGCTTGATAGAGAAAATTTTAAAACGTAATTACTATGACATATCTAACAAAGTAAATAATTCCAAAATCTTTTAAGCATTGTTTTTTTAATGCCATGTTTCCCTAGCTACCTGGAAATGCCTGTAAAAATTAACTTACTTACTTTGTAATGTTCCCTAAATAATAATATCTGATTTCTAAATGTTTGAATATTTACAGCTTTTTTCTATTGTTCTCAAGAATGTTCTAGATATGTTGAATGTAAAAATTCATTTTGATACGAGGTAAATTTTATATAAACAATGTACACCTGATCCTCTAATGGTGATTTATAACGCAGGTTATAAGAAGCAAAGGTGTGAGAAGTCTGTTAATAGAGTTAATTTGGTTTAACTAAGAATTTCCTTTAAAAAATTTTTAATGTTTTTATTTATTTTTGAGAGAGCGAGAGCGAGAGCAAGCAGGGGTGGGTCAGAGAGAAAAGGGACACGAATCTGAAGACAGGCTTCAGGCTCTGAGCTGTCAGCACAGAGCCTGAGCCTGCCTGATGCAGGGCTCGAACCCACGAACCATGAGATCATGACCTGAGCCAAAGCCGGACCCTTAACCGACTGAGCCACCCAGGCACCCCTAACTAAGAATTTCCTAAACTTATTTAGCCCCAGAACCTGTTTTTTATATGTAACTTCTGTTCGCCAAAATACGTTTTGGAGAATACTGTTCTAGGCAGGAGAATGCTCCCTCTGAATAGCAAAACAGGTGTTAACTTAGTTTTTATTTGAATTAGATAATTTATTCTTGTGGCATAATCATGTAATATCTATTTCTTAATCCTACTACAATCTGTTTAATATTGATAATGCAGTATAACAGGTCATCCTCGTCAGGATCTAAAATCTTTAAACACATTGTAAAAGCAAATTAAGGGGTGCGTTGGTGGCTCAGTTGGTTGGGTGTCTGACTTCAGCTCAGGTCATGATCTTGTAGTTCGTGAGTTTGAGCCCGGCATCGAGGTCTGTGCTGACAGCTCAGAGCCTGGAGCCTGTTTCAGATTCTGTCTTCCTCTCTCTCTGCCGCTCCCCTGCTCGCACTCTGTCTCTCAAAAACAAATGAGCATTAAAAAATAAAATTATTAAAACAAGCAAATTAAGTATGAGCATTTTGTTTTTCCACTAGATAGATATTTGCAAACTAAAATAGCTATACATCACAATCCCTCTGTCAAGAAAGATAAATTTCATTGGTATTGTATTAAAGGGGAAGCTCGGGGGTGCCTGGGTGGCTCAGTCAGTTAAGTATCCTACTCTTGGTTTCGGCTCAGGTCATGATCTCACAGTTTTGTGCTGTTTGAACTCTACATTGGGCTCTGTGCTAACAGTGTGGAGCCTGCATGGAATTCTCATTCCTTCTCTCCCCTGTCTTTTCCTCCCTCTCTGCCCCTTGTCTACTCACATTGTCTCTCTCTCTCTCTCAAAAATAATTTTTTTAAAAGGAGGGAAGCTAGAAGTAAAATGTGTAGAAAAAAACCAGATGAACACAGGGGAAGGAAAAAAAAAAGAGAGGGAAGTAAACTCTAAGAAAGTCTTAGTAAACTGAGGGTTCATGTGGGTGGGGGAATGGTCTAGATTGGTGATGGGCATTAAGGAGGGCACTTGTGATGAGCACTGGGTGTTACATGGATGTGATGAATCACTAATTCTACTCCTGAAACTAATATTACACTATATGTTAGCTAACTAGAATTTAAATAAAAATTTGAAACAAAAAAGAACTCCAGGAAAAACAAACCAAACGATGATAGTAATTTTATTTTATTTGTGAAGAATTGGTTAAAAATAACTTTTAAAAATGTTAAACTTAAGGGGCACCTGTGTGGCTCAAATGGCAAAGCAACTGACTTGGGCTCAGGTCATGATGTTGAAGTTTTGTGAGTTCTGGCTCTCTTGCTGTCGACACAGAGCCCACTTGGGATCCTTTGCCCTCCTCTCTCTCTCGCTGCTCCTCTTGAACTCGCATGCACATGTGCTCTCTCTCTCCCAAAAATTAACATTAAAAAAATATAAATCTTAGGCAGTAGTATGGGAATTCTCAAGTGGTTTACATTTTTATGTACTTTTAAAATATGTTCAGGGCGCCCGGGTGGCTCAGTCGGTTGAGCGTCCAGCTTTGGCCCAGGTCCTAATCTCACGGTTTCAAGCCCCACGTTGGTCTCTGTGCTGACAGCTCAGAGCCTGAAACCTGTCTTCGGATTCTGTGTCTCCCTCTCTCTCTGACTCTCCCCTGCTCATGCCGTCTATCTCTCTCAAAAATAAATAAAACCTTAAAAAAATTAACATATGTTCACTTTTTAAAAATATGCAAGCAGTTAACAGGGTCAAGTGGAGACTAATTACACATCAAAGGAAAACATTTCCCCTTCCCACCACTCTTCTCTGTTCACTGACACTAGAGTGAGAAGGGAATCTGGAAGCACTCATGCTCTAGAGCATCTGCATCTCATCCTGGTATGATCTAATGGACACCTGTCCCCTGTCCCTCCGCCTTGCCAATTCTCCAGAGTGGATTAGCTGGTTGCTCTTGTCTTTATATTGCATAAGTGTGTAGATGGCTGTTTTTTCTGTGATGCTACAAAGGTAATTTTCCCCCCATTACTTCCAGTCAAATTGCAACTTCAAGCAGAAGAGAGAGGGGTTGTGTCTATCAAAGGAGTCTGTGCAAACCGCTATCTTGCCATGAAGGAAGATGGAAGATTACTGGCTTCTGTAAGTAATGTTCTCTGTTTTTTCTTTTCTTCATTATTAGCTTTTGTTGCTGTTAATTACTAGTATTGGCATTTATTCTTTATTAAGGATTTTGCAAGTATTTAAAAAATCATATTCACCTTATAAAATAGAGTATTTTATTTCACAGATACAAAAACTGAAGTTCTGAGGGAGTAATAAAGCAACCACGGAAACACAGCCGATAGGAAGTAGAGCCTAGATGGCACTTGAGGCAGTCTTGACTCTAGAGCATGAGCTCTAATTCACTGCATTTTACTGCCTTCTCTGCAAAGCTATTAAGCTACAGCTGTGAAAAAAAATTCTTATATTGTGCAGTTGTTTGAAGATTAGTGGGATGGACATATACAATTTTGAGTATCAGTCTTTAAGTTTCTTTTTTCAGAGTTCACATATAAATGCTTACCATATAGAATACTTGCTGAGAATGTAGACACTTAACCTAGATACTCGCTCTGCCATGTATTAGCTGTGTGTTCTTGAGCAAATCATTCTGAGTTTCCTTACCTGTAAAATAGAGACAGCAGTGATTCTATCTTATAGAGCTTTTGTGAGGACTAAATTAGATAATTTCTATCCAATGCCCAAATCTAGGTCATGCATAAGAGATCCTCACAATTTTTACTTCCTCTTCATCTTATTTATATATAAGCTCATTCAGGACAAGGACTTAACCTTTTTTTTTTTTTTTTTTTTTAACTTATTCTCACAGCTAGTTAGGAGTCCTAGCTCCTGACTAGTATTCTTTTCACTAATGCAGGCTCCCTGTCAACTCCACCATTGTCATTAGAACCAGGATTACATGTCTGTTGAGCAGACATGGTGTGTGGGGAATAGTGCACAGAAATAAAGCAGTATAAAATATATAGACCCAACTTCTGTCTCATTGGGGGAATAGATGGGACACATACCTGAAAGTGTGTGTGTGTGTGTGTGTGTGTGCGCACAAACCATAGTCATCATACCAGTACCAGTAGCCAGTTACAATCGCCTTAACTTCCCCACAGAATGGATCTAATAATACTGAGTGGTTGTGATGGTTTAAGCCATACAGATAGTTTTTGAAAGTTTTTCTGAGTGAAGATCTTTGGATTTCTCAAGGACCAAAACAGACATACAGAGAAAAAGAATGTTTCAGTCATCTGATCGATCATCTGACAAAGATATACTTATGTTGATATGTTAACAATGTATGCGATTTTTTTGCAGGATAAATAACAAGTCTGGGTATATAATGGCATGCACTCTCTTTGGTAGTTGAATAAACTTTAGAATTCTCTTTAAGAATAGCCAATATTTATTGAGTGTACAATGTGCCAGAGAGAATAGCCAATATTTATTGAGTGTACAATGTGCCAGATGCTATGCTAGGCATCAGAGTTATAAAGTTGAATACAAAGTGGTCTGTGATCTTAATGAATCATAATTCTGGGGAGACAGAAATGTAAATAAGTATTTGTAATGTGTAAGGGTTTTGATGTGTTCCTTGTATATCTTGTATAAATGCATAATAATATTGGAAAGAAGTATTATGACATAGGAAGTAATATAGGAAAAGGAAGTGCTTAAATTTGTCTAGATTGGGGAGGATGACATATAAATGGGATTTTAGATGATGTAGAGGAAGGAATTCATCATGCAGTCATGAGGCAGAGGAGTGGAGATGAGGGCATAGGCACTTCCAGGGCACTGCACATGCACAGGTTCAGAAAGCTTAGGAAGTGTTTCTCTAGCATTGTAAGTAATTCACTACTGCTGAAGTGTAAAGTGCAAAGGAAATGTAAAGTGGAAGGGAGAAAGAGAGAAGGCTGGAGAGGTGGATAGACTGTCTGCTGAAGTGCCTTAAACACCATGTGTTGCAAGCAGTGGAAAGCCACTTTATGAACTTGCACTTGCCATAGGCATAAGTCTTTCTACTCTTCTTCTCCCTGGCTCCATTTCAGAGTATTGAAATGGCACATCCCTGAATTCTGCATTTTCCCCCGTGGGTGATTCTTGCAGTGAATTGCAAAACATTCTCATTTTGTCACAGAAAGAAGAGTACTCTGGACACATAAAATATTTTGGTTCTTAAGAGTTGTGTTATATTGATTGCTACCATTGAGAGTATGAAAAAGACTAAGTTATGTACTATTTTTTTTAAATAATACTTTCACATATTAATGGCATGAATAGTTTCAGGCTTAGGATTTCTCATTGTTTGAAAACATTTCTTAAGGGTGTGCCCCACCTCTCTCTTTGGAGGTAGAAAATGCAATAGTTTAAACAATAACTATATTTAACTGGCAAAGCCTATATTTAGAGGCTGAAATTAAGTAATTCTTTAATACAGGACAGTTTCTTATGCCACTCCATAGCAGGATAAATTTTGTTCCCATGAACAACAGAAGTTCAGAACAAATAATAGGATTTATGATTTAAGTCCCCAAACAACATCAGTGTTAGCACTGGTATAAAAAATTTGCCTGATCTTTATCTGCTAGAAAATTGCATATTGATATCTATATAATGCTATAGGTTATGATATCCTTAACAAGATATCTCAGTATGAGAAATGTGTATAACTTGTGTTGATCCTTACTAGTGAAATATGAAAAAATCATATTCTCTAAGGATATACATTTAATAACTGCAAACGTAAAATGCCTATTTTTCTTTTTTTTTTTAACCTTTGGAATAACTTTCTTAGTTGAGGAGCCTTAATAATGAAATGAGACCTCCATGCATAGCAAAGTAGGGAAAATAGATTTCGGAGGGCTCAGTTATTAGATTGACAATATACACTGGTTAAATTTGTTAGAAAAATACAGTAATTGAAGAATGTATATGATTTTTAGAGATAAAATACTAGATTAAATGCAAAGGTTACTACCTAATGAGAATTAACTGCTTTTACAAACCAATCTCATAAAATTTTATACAACTTCTATGTATATGACAAAATTAAGGTCCAATTTGCTTTTAACTTTTCACAATTTGTGTTTTATTTTGTTCTGAAATAATCAACATTGATACTTACATCATGTCTGTTTTTAATTCTCAGAAGTGGTGTAAGCAAAGCATTTTTGGATTCATGTTGAGCAAACTCCCTCATAAGCCAAAACTGAAAAATCAAAGTACTGTAAAAGAATAAACAATCCAAAAAACAGAGCATGGGGAAATGACCATAAAGTTCAAATCTAACATTTAGCAGTGGACCAGATTAGTGTGACTGATCAATGCATAATGGGAAAAGGTGGAGTTGAGGAGATACTACCCTACTTATTTCTTTTCTCATTGTATATCAAGACTTAAAAATGGTTTAAAAGACTTTAAAGGCTTAAAGATTGTTAAAGATTGGGAAGGATCTTTATTTTTTCAATGCTTATTTGTTTATTTTGAGAGAGAGAGAGAGAGAGGGAGACAGAGAGAGAGGAAGGGAGGGAGAGAGACTGAGGAGGGGTGGGGTGGAGAGAGAAGGAGAGAAAATCCCAAGCAGATTTTGCACTGTCAGCACAGAGCCTAACAGAGGGCTTGATCTCATGAACCGTGAGATCATGACCTGAGCTGAAATCAAGAGTCAGGTGCTTAGCTTAGCTAACTGAGCCACCCAGGCATCTCTAAGATTGGGAAGGATCTTAAAGATCGTCTAATACAGTCTTATTTTACAGATGAAGAAAGTAAGGCTTGGAGAAGTTATGGAACTTCCTCATAAATGTGAGTTAGTTAGGAATTAAGGCAAGACTGGAATCCAGGTTGCCTGGCCCACCAAAAGACCCTCACAGATGTTGTTAGGATAGTCAAATTCTTGGAAAGGACCGTCTGATTTAGTTTTCCCAGGGCCTAAATAGTCCATACAGTTAGATGATCTTGATATATTTCAATTCTTAGTCTGAATTTCTTTGGTCTTAGCTCTCCAGTTTTAGTCTTAGTTTCAGATTTTGCAGTATCATTGTATTTTTACTGGAGGCTGTCTAAAACAAGTTCATTTACTCATTAAGTAAATATTTATTTAATATACATCCAAGTTAGTTAGCATATAGTACAATGATTTCAATAGATTCCAGTGATTCATCCCCTATGTATAACACCCAGTGCTCATCCCAAGTGTCTTCCTAAATGCCCCTTACCCATTCAGCCCATTCCCCCTTCAGCAACCAATCCTGTTTGTTCTCTGTATTTAAGAGTCTCTTATGTTTTGTCCCCCTCCCTGTTTTTATGTTAGTTTTGCTTCCCTTTCCTTATGTTCATCTTCCTTATGTTTTGTATCTTAAATTCCTCATATGAGTGAAGTCACAGGATATTTGTCTTTCTCTAATTTTGCTTAGCATGATACCCTCTAGTTCTACCCATGTAGTTGCAAATGGCAAGATTTCATTCTTTTTGATTGCTATAAGTAAATATTTATTGATCATTTAAGTGCCAGGCACTAGTATAGCAATAGCACTAAAAGTGAAAATCCTCCCCTACATGGCATTTATAGTCTGGTGAAATAAAGTAGAACTGTATATATAAATAAATGATCTGTATTTGGGTATGGTGGAGCACAAAGATGAATGAGATGCTTATATTTTACATAAAGTAACAAGAGTTACTAAATTCAGTTACTTGAGAAATTCTTTGGTGGTGGTACTTGTAGCCCTAGGGTTAGGTTCTGTAAAAAATAAACTTTGATTTTAGAATAGGTTTACAGAAAAGTTGTGAAGATTATATAGTTTCTATATATTACACACCATTTCTCCTACTATCAGTATCTTTCATTAGTATTACAGTTGTCACAACTAATGAAATAATATTGATACATCATTATAAGCTAAAGTCCATACTTAGAATTTCTTTAGTTTTTATCTAATGTCCTTTTTCTGTTCCAGGATCCCATTCAGGAAACTACATTTAGTCATGTGTCCTTAGTCTCCTCTAGACTATATTCCTTAGACTTTCCTTTTTTAAATTATTTTGATAGTTTTGGTTAGATATTTCTTAGAATGTCCTTCAACCTAGGT